AGCTTTCAGATTTTCAGGCAGCTGAGTTTGGATGGATGGGAGGAAGAAGTCAGACGGACCTAGGTTTAAATTGTGCCCCGCAGGGCTTCCCTGGTGGCGCAGTGGTTAAGAATCCGCCTGCCAATGCAGGGGACACGGGTTTGAGCCCTGGTCTGGGAAGATCCCACATGCCGCGGAGCAACTAAGCCCGTGCACCACAGCTACTGAGCTTGCGCTCCAGAGCCCATGAGCCACAACTACTGAGCCCCCGTGCCGCAACTACTGAAGCCCCCACACCTAGAGCCTGTGCTCCGAAACAAGAGAAGCCACCGGGGGCTTCCCTGGTGGCACAGTGGTTGAGAGTCCGCCCGCCGATGCAGGGGACATGCCGCGGAGCAGCTGGGCCCGTGAGCTATGGCCGCTGAGCCTCCGCGTCCAGAGCCTGTGCTCCGCCACGGGAGAGGCCACAACAGTGAGAGGCCTGTGTACCGCAAAAAAAAAAAAAAGAGAGAGAGAGAGAGAGAGAGAAGCCACCGCAATGAGAAGGCCACGCACTGCAACGAAGAGTAGCCCCCGCTTGCTGCAACTAGAGAAAGCCCGCGCGCAGCAACGAAGACCCAATGCAGCCGTAAATGAATGAATGAATAAATAAATAAAATTTATTTTTAAAAAATTCTTAAAAAAAAATCGTGCTCCACCACTTAATAGCTGCATTACTTGGTTTGACCAATTACTCAAACATAGGAAGTCTTAGTTTGCTTATCTTTAAAATGGAGCAGTAATACAGGATTAAGTGAGATAATCCAGATAAAGCACTGACAGGCAAAGCGTTAGGAGTTATTACTGCTGCTACCACTGTTTCCAGAAAGACGAGTTGCTTAAACGGTTGTTCTGAATGTCTAGCTAGAGAAAGGCAGTGAACTAGAGTGGAGGATTGTAAAGGAAGGAAAAATAGCAGAGACACTATAGAAATAGAATCTACAGGTTTAGGATTTCCCTGGTGGCGCAGTGGTTAAGAATCCGCCTGCCAATGCAGGGGACACGGGTTCGAGCCCTGGTTGAGAGCAACTAAGCCCGTGTGCCAACTAAGCAACTAAGCAACTGAAGCAACTAAGCCTGTGCGCCACAACTACTGAGCCCACACACCACAACTACTGAGCCTGCACCCTAGAGCCCGTGAGCCACAGCTACTGAGCCCGTGAGCCACAGCTACTGAGCCCGTGTGCCACGACTACTGAAGCCCGTGTGCCTAGAGCCCACGCACCGCAACGAAGAAGAGTGGCCCCCGCTCGCCACAACTAGAGAAAGCCCATGCGCAACAACGAAGACCCAGTGCAGCCAAAAAATTAAATTTAATTAAAAAAAAAAAAAACCTACGGGTTTAAGTAGGTTGGATGTCAACTCCGGGTGACCAAAGACACAGACAAGATGCGAGTAAAGGGAGTGAGTCAGAGTGGGAGGTTTCTGAGGAGTAGATAGAGATTTGGCTCAGCCACAGCATAGGTGGCAATGAGGAGGGGTGGATAAGGTTTGGGAATATGAATTTATGGTGGACCCTAAAGTTTTTTTTTTTTTTTTTTTTTT